TATGTTTATATATTCATGGTATATTACAGTCTTCTGCCAGTTCTCTGAACTTACACGGTGTGTGGGAACCGTCCGTTTCCTAGGGGATCTTTTATGTAGGCCACGGCTCCATGACATTTTAACATAGATTAATAGATACTAAACCGCATCATTGAGCAGGGCTAAACAAATATTCAAGAAATATTTACCCTTTGTGTTATTTTGTGCTTAAACATTGTCTTTTCTATATGAATGGCCTCCAAACGTGCTAATATTTCTCCTGTTGATAGTGAGAAGAAGAATAGAGAAGCTCTTTCCTTGACATTTACAATATTATTGATTAATAGTGTATTAAACTGTACTAAATTTTGCTGCTGCAAAGCACATTGCAGATCTTTGTACTGTACTGTAATACAGTTTCAAAGGTTTGTTAATTACCTCTGCAGTACACTATGGTACAAGTATTCTATAATATTTATTGTATTACACATTACAGGGTATAAGGTTTGTTAAATTTAACACAAAACTATACAGTACATTACAGTATAACTATGTCATACGTTACATTGTTTTCATCTATACCCTATACAGATGTCGTCCCCTACTTACGATATTTTCGTCATACGATGCGATTTTCGGAACTTAGCCCCATCGTAAGTCGGAGACGACCTGTATAGATCAGAACAGTACAGTTAACATCTACCGTTGTGGTGATATGCGATACGCATTATATTTAAGGAAACAACTGAAGAGCGGTTCCATATCATGTGACACTCTTGATATGCTGAAAGACACCTAAAGAGCTCCTTTAAGCATTTAACAGCTCCGTGGAATTTGGGCACCAGAAATCTCGTACTGCAGATGTTCGACTACGAAGAACCTTAGACCAAATTAGCAATGCAGTGTCCCCTTGAAACTCAGCTTGATGAAGTTATGCGCTTATTAATATTGTGATATGCATTGCATTTATATGAGTATATAATGCAGGACGGAGAATGCTGTTTCAAATCATGAACATGAAATAAGTCTCCCTAAAGGTCTTGTTTTTCGTAACCTCCATCGGTCACATTCTATTTAAGCAAGCCTGCTTCTTTTGTTCTCTTTTGATATTTTTCTTTCCACAGGAGATGAAGGAGATGACGACGATTTCAATGAAAAAGTGGAAGGACGTCGAAGACGCCGAGAAGGCAGAGAAGAGAAATTGCCTCCGCTGCTTGCAAGGGTCAACGGCCAAATCGAGGTTGGTTTATGCTTAATGGCAAGCATCTGTAGCAGTTTTGGCACCGAGTGATGAAGAGCTATTTCTGACTTGGCTGTAATTTAAATTATGACTGGTCGGAACTCTGTGCACTGTTAAAGTGTAGTGGGTCCATCAGCTGACAGTAACTGCGCCTTAAATGCTTTTGTTTCTAAGGGTTGAAACGGAAGAAAGGCAAGGTGTAACATTCTTAAGATGATTTGTAAAGGCGAATCTGACGGTGCTTAAGTTTGTTTTAATCTCCGTTATGCGTTGTGCCTTTCATTAATTCATTTTCAATGCGCGTGGTTCCTTTCGGGTGCTGTGACAGTTGCTCCATGAATCCCTTTTAGTGAATCTGATTCATTCCATGCAGGAAGGCTTCGAATTGTCGGGCTCGACATTGCCAGTTTTCTGTATAATCTAGCCAGTTAATCTTTCGCTTTGCCCTTAAACCAATTTTTCTGTGGCTTTGTCAAGTCATGTCGAACTGTGAGTCTTTCCTATGGCATCCTTATAAAATTAACATTAAAGCAATGATTGAGTAATAGAGAGGGAAACCATCTATCGTCTC